CTGCTGTACCTGGCAAGACGCGCACGGAGGGCTGCGGTGCCAGACTCTGCGGCTGCCTATGCCTGGGCGGAAGCCCTGCACTCCTGCTGCTGCCATTGAAACCAATGGACCCCATTGCAGGATCGGGGCCTGTGCTAGGTTAGCCCGTGTCCCCTAGGACCCACACGGAGACCCCCTCAGCACACGGCACGAGAACCACCAGCCCTTAGCTGGCTACAGCTGTGGGAGGCACCCATGCGAGGCTGGGTCGCAATGCGGCCTGCTGGGCGGAAGCCCTGCACTCCTGCTGCTGCCATTGAAACCAATGGACCCCATTGCAGGATCGGGGCCTGTGCTAGGTTAGCCCGTGTCCCCTAGGACCCACACGGAGACCCCCTCAGCACACGGCACGAGAACCACCAGCCCTTAGCTGGCTACAGCTGTGGGAGGCACCCATGCGAGGCTGGGTCGCAATGCGGCCTGGAGCCCATTAACATTGTCCCATACGCTATCCAGCCTGGGACAATAAACACCATGGAGAGGAGAAGGAGAAGTGCTCGGGGAAAGACCAGAGGACAAGATTCAGTGATTTCCATTGTGCTCCTAAATTCCCTCGGTGCTTCTGATACATCTTCCTTACTCCTTGCCATGAAGTTACTGCAGTGACAGGGACCCTTCCTGTATATTCCCTCTCCCCGTCACCCTGGCGAGGAAAAAAGCAAACAAACCAGCTCTTACCAAGTGACTTGAATATCTGCATGCCACCGTATTTCCCCTCGAAGAGCACTGTGTTATTTAAAGGGTTGAACGCCCGACTCATTCGGATCAGAAGTACTTCCAGGCAACCTGACGCAGGCAGAAAGACAACAGATGCCGAGGAAAAGGAGGAGGAGGAGGAGGAGGGAAAGGAGGAAGGGGAAGGGAGCATTTCCGTCATCCAAGGACCAAAAAAAAAAAAAATCCAGACCAACAAACCCACCAAGCCCAATTCAAGTGTCAATTCCAAGTGATTAAAAAAAAAAGTGTTTAAAAAAACCCCAATTTTGTTTTTTTAAAAGAGCAAATTGGGACCGTGAGATTTCGACAAACGGCAACATGCCCCAGTCGGTTAGCAACGGAAAGCAGAGAGATAAAATGAAGGTAAAAACAAAAGAAGGAAATGGAGGGAAAAAATGAAGAGGTTGGTTAGATTCCATGTGCTGAGACATGCAAACCAGGCAGCGTGCGGGTTTAAGGGTGGCAACCTGCATGGAACTTGGAGGGAGGAGCATGAGTTGCAGGAGGGAAGATGTTGGCGGAGGGACCAATGCAGGTTGCTACCTAAGCCCATGTGGCCAGGAGGGGCCCACCTACCTGTACTGTGTCTCACAGCCATGCAGAGCGTCCGGGTGGACGTGGGCAGGACAGCACCCGGCAGTACGGCTCTGCTCTAGGAAGCTGGGTTGGAGAACTAACCCGGGATTGCCCCACTCGCAGTTAGAATACACTGAAATCATGGTCTGCGCCTCCATTTTACCCTGCTCCTCATGGGGAGGTTTACACCAGGGCAAAATGGACAGGTGCTTTTCCCTGGTGCGAAGGGCAGTGGAGACTCGGACCCGGGGTAGCTTAACACCTACTTTTGGCTTCCCAGTCCCGCAGTCTGATCTGCTGGCATGAACCTGATTGTAGGATCGGGCCCTTCGGGTGTGAAAATCTAACAGGAAGGGAGCAGCAGGGACGGTGTGCATGGTGAGAGCTCTCAGTGGCAAACGACCAGCTGTCCGCAATCGGAAAACACATTGGACTGGTCCCAATGTGGTTTGTAAATGGTGGTGAAAGCAGGGTGTGGCATTCTGAGCCAGAGATGGAAGGGTACGTCTAAATTACAAGACTCCGTCGACGGAGCCATGTAGATTTGTTTGTTCGGCAAAGGGAAATGAAACCGCGATTTAAATAATCGCGGCTTCATTTCCCTTTGCCGATCAGCCTAATCGACATGGCTCCATCGACGGAGCCATGTAGATTTGTTTGTTCGGCAAAGGGAAATGAAACCGCGATTTAAATAATCGCGGCTTCATTTCCCTTTGCCGATCAGCCTAATCGACATGGCTCCATCGACGGAGCCATGTAGATTTGTTTGTTCGGCAAAGGGAAATGAAACCGCGATTTAAATAATCGCGGCTTCATTTCCCTTTGCCGATCAGCCTAATCGACATGGCTCCATCGACGGAGCCATGTCGTTTAGACACACCTTAATAGTGTAGCCGATTAACCAATCAGCAAAAGCTCATAGGTTAATGCTGTGAACTACATGCATTTCTTCCTCCCTGCCCCTGGCCAGAACATTTTTAGCAGCTCAGTCCTGGCCTGTGCTGGATCTAGGACCTGTCCCTGCTGCGGCTCTGCATTTAAAGTGTATTAGGAGCCAGGTGGGCAGGCGGCCCCGCTCAGTTCTGACACACTGGGTCCAGGAGCTCAGACCCCCTCCCTAGACAGGGGCTGCTGCCACCCTGCATTGCTGCCTCTTTATCAGAGGTAGCAGCGCAGGGCAACTGGCAGCCGGTCTGCGAGGGGAGCTGGTTTTTAAACTGACTCCCCCACGGACCAGCTTCAACCTGGCACCCCACGCTGCTGCCTCTGATACAGAGGCGGCGGCATGGCGTGGCGGGGGGCTCCTTGGGAGTGGGACCAGAGCGCACTGGCTGCCGATCCCACCCCTGGGGACTATAGAGTAGTCGAGTAACCGATAAGAATTCATGAGGTTAATCGACTGTTCAATGGTCCGATATTTAACATCCCCAGTCTGAGCCTGTCCCGGAGTGTTGGGATTGCACTAGAGCGCAACGCAAACAAAATAACGGAGTTGGGGCTTTGGAGTGGGACCCAAAACCAAAAATGATTCATCTGATTTCACCCCCCGAGCTGAGTATAGCCCAAGAAGCCCAGGAGCACCATTCACTCTCTGGGAGGCAGGGACGGGCTGTTCTACCCATTTTTCAGAATGGGAAACTGAGGCACCAAGCTGGGACATGTCATTGGCTGAATCGTCAATTAGCATTAGCAATACTCTGACTCCCTGAAAAGGGCAAAAACGCTAGCAAGGCCGCTGTAGGCGCAGGAGCTGGAGCCCTGCCTAAGATCAGGCCTCTAGGAGCAGGGAGGGGAGAGACGTATCTGGCTCCCCCGGGAGTTCAGGGCAGGACCATTCCCTTCTGTCCCTTGCCCCGCAGTCAGGGTGAAAGGGGGACCCCTAAGGGTTGGGAGGCTGGGTCTGAAAAGCCCTTGGATACTTAGGGGAGCTGGACGCCGCAAGGAGAAGCACCTGGTGCTCCCCAAGCTCCTAGCGCCCCCGGACTTGTGGGGCGCAGAGGGAGGGGTTGAAAACCAGACCTGGGTCCAGAACTCCGGATCTGCATCCCTCCAAACGCGGCGGGGGCTGATCTCCAGAGCTGGGTGCTAAAGCAGCCACACCAGGCCGGGCCTTCAGGAAAGGGCAGGCCACGCGTGGGGCAGGGAATGGGGAAAGCTCAGTGAGCTGGGGGGCGGGAGGGACTGTGCTGACCCTGATGCTATTACTCCCTGAGCTTGGTGCCATGGGGCACAGGACCTCTGAGGCCACGGTCGCGGCTCTGAATGATCCTGGTGCTCCCCATGGCGTTTCATAGCCCCCCCTCGTCTTCATCCCCCCTTGCTGCCTCTTTCAGATAGAGGTGGGGGGGGATTGGTCGACGGGTCCTTCACATCCCTAGAGCAGAACCAGGAAGTGGCCTGTGGTTGCCCCCCGTTGTAATCCCAGGCTGAGCCTCCAGGGGCGCAGCCCACAGCGCGTTGGGAGGAGGCAGGTTTCCCTGACTCCAGGAACGGCCCCGGGGTGGATCCGAGCAGCCCCTGGAGAGCAGCGTATGGGCTTCTCCACAGCCCGCTGCACCGGAATCTCTCGTGTGCCCGGCACCATGCGGCCCGGGAGCCTCTCGCAGCAACTCCCGACCCAGCCCAGCCCACTCCCGGCCCCGATTCCGACGGGGGCACGGACGGTCCTGTTTGCGTGGCCCTCGTGCCAGGGTCAGACTGTCCCTGTGTGTCCCTGCCAGGCCTAGGAGGCTGGGGGGTGGGGCGGGGGGGGAGGAGCCCATCTGTGGGGCGGGGCGCGTCTCCCCGCACTCTCACCTGCTTTGAGGAGGAGGATCTGGTCGTTCTGGCAGAGCTCCAGGAAGCCGTCGAGGCGCTTGGCGAACTCCACCACGTACTGGATGGCGTTGGAGAGCTGCAGGGAGCACTGCAGCCACATGGTCTCGCAGCTCTGGGGGTGCAACACGGGGACGTCAGGGGCAGCCGGCTCCCGCCGCACGTCGCCCTCCCTGAACGCCCGGGCTGGGGGGCTCCTTTGTGTCCGGTGCCACCCGGGGGCTGCGCCGCGCACCCCTGCTGCAAATCTCCATGCGTCTGCCTCCCCATGGTGCTCCACTCCCACTGGAACCCAGGGCAGTATCCTAGCACTGGAAGGGACCTCAAGAGGGCATCAAGTCCGGTCCCTGGCCCTCCCGGCTGGACCAAGCACCGTCTAGATGATCCCTGACAGGTGTCTGTCCAACCTGCTCTGAAATATCTCCAGTGGTGGAGATTCCACAACCCCCCTCGGCTGCTGAGCCTTTGGGAACCAAGGGGGGGGGGAGGCCTGTGGCCCCACGCTTCACTCACGCATCACCAGCATGAGATTCCACGCGTAGGGGATCAGATGGCTTTGCCTCCTTGCTTTGATCAGCCATTTGCATTGACCATTATTAGACTTCAGAGTGAACCCCCCTTGCAACTGGGCTTCCCTGAGCCCTTCAAGGCAGCTTTTCATGCTGCCTGCAAACTCTGTTTCACACTATGGCTCCTCCCCCCGCCCCTGTTAGCTGGGATGTTGGAGCTCTAGATCAGTGTTTCTCAACCTTTTTTTTTAGAAAATACCTTTTTTTTTTAAAAAAAATACATAAGTACCCCCGGTACCTACAGTTTTCAAACAATACCTTTTTTTAAAAAAAAATACATAAGTACCCCCGGTACCTACAGTTTTCAAACACGCACAATTTTTTTCTACCATTGCAACACATTTGTGTAAAAAACTTCATCGTAGCCAGGCGGGCGATGAAATTTTTGGGTGTAAAAAGTACAAAAATAATAAAGCGCAGTAAAACGTAAAACAAAAATTCCGTTTTCTCCAATTTTCAGTGGTGTTGACGGCCCCCCAGACTGCTCTGAAGTACCCCGAAGGGTACTCGTCCCACTGGTTGAGAAACACTGCGCTAGGAGACGGCTTCCGGACCCAGCCTGCTTCGCCCCAGTCTCCACTGTCCCGCCCGGCTAGGTGATGGTCTGGGACACCTGGTAGGTACCATGGGACGTGGCCTGGGGATTCTCCCCCACCTGCAGCTCCGGGCCATGAGGTTCTGCCCCTCGCCCCAGGGCGTGCTCAGTCACAGTGACTTAGCGTCCCTATTGCAGCCCAAAGCCTGACGCTCCCCAATGTCCTGCCACCCCCCTGCCAGGTTCCGAGTTGGGGGTGTCCCAGGACGAGCTCCCATTGGCGCCCCCTGACCCGGGTTAGTGCTGGGGGGGCAGGCTGTAGCAAGGACCTGCGGGCTGGCAGGAAGCAAAGGGATGGTACCTTGTTCTGCAAGCTCCTAATCTCCTCCTGGGTGTACAGCATCCACGCTAGCCCCTTGAGCTCCTCCACCGTGTACTGGCAGGTCTCCAGGTGGGACTTGACCACGTTCTGAGCAACCCGGTCTGCCGAAGCAAGCACAGGGCACTGCTGAGACGCAGAGCCTGGGGGCAGGGCCTTGGCCCCTACAGGGGCAGGCTTCCTCGCAGACAGGGCAGCCTGGGGGACTAATGAAGCATGTAGGCAGCCTCGGGGCTGCTGGCGCCTTGCCAGCATGGCCTCTCAGCCAGGGATGTAGTGTGTGATGAGCTGTCACATATCCAGATGTGCCCCTGCCTTCTCCTGGGTGGAGTCAGAAATGATCGCTCTGTGTGTCCTAGGCCCTATAGTGCCAGTGGGGATTCTCCTTAGCTGAGGTGCAAGGGGCTTTCAGAGCCCGAGGATCCGGGGTCTATCCTTGCTGCAGAGTTCCCAGCTACCTGGGGGGTTGGCACAGGATTTTTGGGTTGTGAGCAAGCTGGAACTCAGGCAGTTGGCTGATCAGTGGGGGCTGGGCTGGGCTGCAGCTTAGCAGGGTGTGGGGCGTGTGTGGGTCTCAGTTCTGGTGGGACTGGAAGAGGACAGTTCCTGCCATAGTCCCCTGTGCCCCAAAGAGCGACAGGCTGGGGGGGCCAAGGGGCTGCAGGCCAGTCTTAAATCTTTTTCTCCAGCCTCCATCCTTTCAGTGGGGGCTGCACCAGCCCTGCACTGACACACGCTCCCAGAGGGGGGCACCTTAGAGAGGGCAGGTGCCAGACTTGTGGGGAGGGGACAGCCGGAGGCTGCAGCAGAAGTAGGACCAGAGACTGGGAGTCCCCACTTCATCTTCTGCTATCAGCACGTAGCCCCGCCCCCCTGGCTTAGGGGCGGGCCCGCACGAGATGATAGCCTACTACTGTTCCCTGCTGCTTTGAAGGCTGAAGGTCTAGGGGCGGTCAGTCGGGCTGAGCCCCGCCAAATTCAGCACATGCCCTGTGTTACGCCAGAGGGTACTGACCGATCTCGAGCAGGGACATGTCCGAGGCGAGCTGGCTGCCCTCCAGGGGGTCGTGGGCAAAGACGCCGGGCTCCAGCATCAGCTCGTAGAAGGACTCCTGCTTGGCGAGCTTGGCGTCGCTGAGGTCCATGCTGGACGGGTCGGGCGAGGGCTGGGCCGAGGTCAGGAGATCCAGGTTGTAGTAGGTACTGCCCCCGTCGGGGGTGAGGGGGAAGTCGAAGAGGAGCCCGTCCGAGAGCGGGGAGATGTCGTCCAGGTCCGAGACGCCGCTGCTCACGCTGGTGGGATAGACCCGCGCCAGGGCCTCGGCGGCGTCCTTGGCGGTGCCGTTCTGCTCCTGGCTCTGCTGGTGCTTCTGCACCTCGGCGTACAGGCTGTCCCGCTGCTTCTTGGACATGCGGCCGAACTTGACGGCTGGGGAGAAGGAAGCGGAGCCGGTGGGCTTGGGCGCCGGGATGGGGGGGAAGTCACGGCCCCCGGGCAGGGCCAATGGAGCAGGAGGGGGGCTGGGCAATGCCTTTGGGCCCTGGGCTGGGGAGGGGGCATGTTTCGGTACATTCCAAGGGTGGGATTTCCCCCTCCTGCCATTAGCAAGCCCAGGTCCCAGCTGGCATCAGGGCCACACTGGGAGCTTACAGCTGAAACTGACCGGGACTTGCTCAAGGTCCCTGACAAAGCCCCGGCTCCCAGCCCTATTCCTAGAGCAGGGCTCCTCCCCACGGGGCAGCCCAGCCCCCCGTGCCCCTCCGGCCTTGGGAGCAGACTCACCATCCCGCGACATGCCCAGCGCCAGGCATTTCTGCAGGCGGCAGTGCTGGCACCGGTTCCGGTTGGTCCGGTCGATCAGGCAGTTTCTCTGGCGCGAGCAGGAGTAGCTGGCGTTGTTCTGCTGGCTTCTCCGGAAGAAGCCCTGCGGGGGAAGGGGGCTGGTTCAAAATGGGGGCGGGGGGTCCCCCGCGGGGCCGGAGGAGTGGCAGGAGGAGCGGACCAGTGCGGGGCGGGAGCAACGCCAGCCCCAGGACAGAGCTGAAGGGTGAGGGGGGCACTAGGCCAGCTGCTGTGCTAGTGACCAGAGACAGGGAGGGGTCCCCAGGCCCCAGGTCGGGGGGGGCATCTCGCTGGTGTGGGAAGCCCCACCCGGGATCTGGGATCAAGCAGTGGGCTTGTGCCACAGAAGTCTGTAGCGGGACCCCTGGCTCACTGGGCTGAGGCTGCCAAGCTCATGACACCTGCCCGGGCCAGCCACAGCCCGTTGCTCACCTTGCAGCCTTCGCAGGTGATGACGCCATAGTGAATCCCCGAAGACTTGTCGCCGCAGATCTTACACGGGATCACTTCGATCTGGGCTGCAGCAGGGAGGGGGACAAAACAGACAAAGCCAGGCCAGTTAATCGCAGCTTCTCTGTCTCGGGAGCAGAGCAGGGAAGACGCTCGGCCCATCTGTGGAGACAGGGCTCTCACAGCACTTTACAGACAGGAATGAAATTTTCTGGGAGGGGGGGATCACCATTCCCATTTGACAGGGGAAACTGAGGCACAGGGCAGGGCCGTGACTTGCCCAAGGTGACTCAGCAGGCCAGGGACGGAGCTGGGAGCAGGACCCCGAGCTGCCAAGCGGGGGCTCCAAGGAGTAGATCAACTCTCCGAAGTGAGCCCCGGCAAACGAACTCAGCAAGCAGCCACTCTCGCCCAAGATTGCTCCCAGCACCGCAAGATCCCACCTAGCAGCCACGGGATCCCCTCTGGGTTTTCCTTTTCCTTGCTCCCGCCGGTGGGAGGGGCGGCTGAAGGACTTTGTACCTGCGCTGGTGGCACTTACAGTCTCGCGTAGATCTGCGCACCCAAAAGGGCCATGTCTCTGGCAGCGCAGATCCCACGCCCCGACCCTGCCCGGGTCTCTTTGCAGGGACCAAACCGGGGAACCTCTGGCTGTAAAAGCCCATGAGAAACACCCAGACCTGCTCCACCGATGCGAGGGAGACAAAGTGCTGCGCTGCCTTAGCTTGAGTTACACACCCAGGGGCTGCCTGTCTGCGGCGCTCAAACACCCCACCCCTCTTATGCCCCTCACAACCTTTGCTGGAGTCATCCTCTGAGAGCAGGGCCAGGCCAGTACCCCTGTTTTACAGATGGGGATGGAGGCCCAGGGAGGCTAAGTATCCTAACCAAGGCCATGCAGGAACTCAGTGGCAGAGCAGAGAATGGACCCAGCTGTCTGGCTAGTGCCCTGACCACTGGACAGACCACGGCGAGGACAAGGGGGTTTAATCCCCAAACAGGCTGCTTTACGGTGGATTTCAGCGCTGGGGGACGGTGCCCGGCTGGCACATCAAGGCCTCTATTAACCCAGAGCAGAAAAGGCTCCGTGAAGCACTCAGGTTGCTAAGTGAGCGCCGTGTCCTGCCCTGGATCTATGTATCTCTTCACTGACACGTCTCGCTGCGTGTCACGCATGGCGGGGACAGTCTCTGCACCAGCCCCCCCAGCCAGGGCCCGTCACAGTACGGCCCCGATCCTGGATGGTGGGGAGGCTGCACAGAAGGACGCAGGTTCAAGCTCCCAGCCTGCATGGAGCCTCCCTAAGGACTGCACTGCAGCCACCCCCATGACCGGCACCCGTAGCACCTGTTGGTTAGACAGGACCACAAGGCTCGTCTAGGCTTGGCCCCTGCTGAAACGTGGGGTTTGTTGTGTCTAAGCCGGGGGGGGGCTCTGACCCACAGAAAAATCAGTCGGGGGCTGCGCACAAGTGAGAAAAAAAACCTGACTGAGAAGCAGAAGGACACACACCAGACCTAGGGGGGTCCCCCTATGCTCTGGGGTGGGCCAAGAATGAGGAGTTCATTGTGTGGGAGGGGGCTGCCAGGAAGCAGGCGTGGGGTGAGGGGTCTGGGTAGGAGGCAGGGTGCAGGAGCAGGTTGGGGGTGGCGGGGCTGGACGGGAGGCAGGGTGCAGGAGCAGGTTGGGGGTGGCGGGGCTGGACGGGAGGCAGGGTGCAGGAGCAGGTTGGGGGTGGCGGGGCTGGACGGGAGGCAGGGTGCAGGAGCAGGTTGGGGGTGGCGGGGCTGGACGGGAGGCAGGGTGCAGGAGCAGGTTGGGGGTGGCGGGGCTGGACGGGAGGCAGGGTGCAGGAGCAGGTTGGGGGTGGCGGGGCTGGACGGGAGGCAGGGTGCAGGAGCAGGTTGGGGGTGGCGGGGCTGGACGGGAGGCAGGGTGCAGGAGCAGGTTGGGGGTGGCGGGGCTGGACGGGAGGCAGGGTGCAGGAGCAGGTTGGGGGTGGCGGGGCTGGACGGGAGGCAGGGTGCAGGAGCAGGTTGGGGGTGGCGGGGCTGGACGGGAGGCAGGGTGCAGGAGCAGGTTGGGGGTGGCGGGGCTGGACGGGAGGCAGGGTGCAGGAGCAGGTTGGGGGTGGCGGGGCTGGACGGGAGGCAGGGTGCAGGAGCAGGTTGGGGGTGGCGGGGCTGGACGGGAGGCAGGGTGCAGGAGCAGGTTGGGGGTGTGCCTCTGCTCATGCCGCCTTCGCCTGCATTTGCTTTTCTTGCAACGGCATCGCCAGGCTGGGTCCAGCCTCCCAGAGCCTTGGGCAGCCCCTGCACCCCCAGTCTGGACGTGCTGAGCCAGCGGTGGGGGGGACAGAGGTACCAGCATTGCAGGATCTGGGGCGGGATCTTGGCCCAAGGGGAGCCCGAACCAGAGCTACTGCCCGTCTCCTGCATATTTGAGCAAGTGTCCGTCCGTCCGTCCGTCCAAGAACTCCTCCAAAAGGTAAGAGCCGGGACCACCACATTCAGGAAGCAGCTTCCCAAGCAAGGTCTGGGTTTGGTTGTGCCAGGACAATGGGACATGCCTGGAATGGGATTGCGGCTCAGAAAACCAAACAGAAAAGAGACAGAGTCACTAGGCGGGGGAAAGGGGCTGGCTGGGGGCCCCCTCCCATCTGGGACTGCCCCAGACTCGAGCCTTCCACCCCCAGGCACTCTTTAGGGAGGGAGGTGGGGGCTGCAGCTTCTTTCACCCCCTTCTTACGGGGACGTTGCTGGCTGCGGCGCCCTC